GGGGGGGGGGGGGCTGTACATAAGTATGTACGTCAATCGATATTAATATTATTATTTATTAACACTCGTTTTTTGTGGTTCAGAAAGCTTATAAATGCTTGTTTTTAATTTAATCACAGTTTTAACAGCTGAGGTTTTTTTATTTAAGAAGCAAAGTAGTATCTTCAAACTTCTTTTAAACTCTTACTTTATCCGTCTAATTCCTTTGTATTTCTAAATATTTATCTATTTGAAGTTTTGTGTAGACATTTTTGTACAATGTAGCTAAACCATATTAGGAGTTTGTTGTTATTGATAAAAGTTGTTTAGTTCACAAGCCGAGATCTATTAAGCACAGGCAAGTTAAATTCAATTTAGAGTTAAAATATTTTTTATCCGTGAAACTTGAAACCTTTGTCTTATTTTTCCTAAAATGGCGCCAATTATTTGTTTATTTCGAACCGATTTGTTCTAAATTTAAGTACCCTGAACAGTAACACTCAACAATACATTTTATAATTAAAAGAAAAATGAAGATGACAATAATTTAACAGTTTTCTGGTTACCAAACTATACGTGTTCAATTCATTCTTTAAGAACTATGGTCAACAACTTTTCACCATTTTGTAATTTCAACTTTTTTCTTCATTCTATCTTGCGCTTGTTCTATTTTTTGTTTGTTCTATTTTGTGTTTTTTTACATTTTTGTTTGTTCTATTTTGTGTTTGTTCTATTTTGTGTTTGTTCTATTTGGTCTTTGTCTATTTTTTTTGTTATATTTTGTGTTTTTTACATTTTTGTTTGTTCTATTTTGTCTGTGTTCTGTTTTGTGTTTGTTCTATTTTATGATTGTTCTATTTTGTGTTTGTTCTATTTTGTGTTTTTTACTTTTTTGCTTGTTCTATTTTATGTTTGTTCTATTTTGTGTTTGTTCTATTTTGTGTTTGTTCTATTTTGTGTTTGTTCTATTTTGTATTCGTTCTATTTTGTGTTTGTTCTATTTTATGTTTGTTCTATTTTGTGTTTGTTCTATTTTGTGCTTGTTCTATTTTGTGTTTGTTCTATTTTGCGTTTGTTCTATTTTATGTTTGTTCTATTTTATGTTTGTTCTATTTTGTGTTTGTTCTATTTTGTGTTTGTTCTATTTTATGTTTGTTCTATTTTGTGTTTGTTCTATTTTGTGTTTGTTCTATTTTGTGTTTGTTCTATTTTGTGTTTGTTCTATTTTGTATTTGTTCTATTTTGTGTTTGTTTTATTTTGTGTTTGTTCTATTTTTTGTTTGTTCTATTTTGTGTTTGTTCTAGAACTGCTGGCTGTATTGGCTATACAGGGCTAACTGCCTGGGCTGCACTTAAAACAGGTAAATTTTATCTTCTTTAAAAAACTTTGATTGCAGGGGTGTCTGAATTGATTAAGTGTTCAAGCATCGCTGAACCCTCATTTTAATTGAACACGCTCACCTGGGAGAAGCCTCTGTAGTAAGTAGAAGAGACCAAGAGGGGAGGAAGAAAGGAAGGAGGTAGGTGGACCATAACCCAGACCTGAATTAGGGTTAAGGACACCACCTAAAGGGGGGGTTGCATGATATCCTGAAAAGTAAGATAAGTAGGTGGCTGGCACGGAATAGAGGTGAGGTAATATCTAAGCTATAATGATAGCATAGATAGGGGAGTAGGGAGATAATAAAGTAGGAGTAGGAAACCTCTAAACCGCATCACAGCATAGCTGAGTCCAAACGCGCAGCAACCTACCATTCCTAAAGTAGAAGTCAACAGTTGAGCCCAAGAACCAATGAGTGTCTAGAAATGTCCGTGAGTATTTTGTCTCCGAGCAAATCATCCGCAGTCGGATTATTGATCCAGAGTAGTAGTGATGGTGGAGTCCAAGCTTGATTTAAAGGCAAGTTTAACTGGATTCTGTTATTAATTTCCCAGAATTTGGGAAAATTAGCCTTTGACAAAGCATCTGCCATAGAAGCTAATGGTGTTGAACATCTGAGTATCTTAGTTATTTCCACAGTAGCACCAAGTCCAGTGGCTACCGTGGAGATGGCGATAGCTAGAGTAGTAGAGAGGGGACAAGAGCGACTATATCCTTTCTTGTAGATGAAGACGGAAGCTGCGTTGTCCACCCAAATTTTGATTGGACTGTTCTTTGCCCATGAAAATCCACCGGAAATGGCCAAAAGTGGTCCAACTAGTTCTAGCGCCGACATGCATCTACCAAGGTATCTTCCGTTTATTTTGGTCTTGTTGAGGTTTATCGCTCGTGACCAGGGGACGTAGGACCACCAGCAGTTAGTGACGGCACCCACTCCAAGTCCTATAGTAGTCATTGAACCGCCAGCAGCATCTGTGTAGACTTCGATGGCCCATGGTGGTAAGGACTTGTCTGGGTTAATTAGTTTACCTCTGCCGGAGCATAACTTGATCATGGTGAACCAGAAGTGTAGTTGTTTTTTGAAATTAGGTGTCAATTGGACTGAAGTAGTTTTATCTGCGGAGTGGCTATTTAGATCTAATAAATGATGCATGTTGAAACGGCCGTTGGGTATGAGTGGTTGAATGTGGATGATTTTCCCGACTACGCTCCATATAGCTGATTGTGGCATGTGATCGGAGATTAAAAATTTGTTTATGTCGTGCAATATCCTGGCTAGTTTTTCTTGGTTGAGCGCCCAAGTCCATTGAACTGTGTCATAGACTATGCCGAGTACCAGACCATGTGTGCTGGGGCCGAAAGACTTCTCTGGATCATCGCGTGGTGCTAGTTTAACACCAAGTTGACCTGCTATTTCGGAAAAGGTGTTATCAAATATTTCTAAGGTGTCGGATCCGGCTGGGGCTGTAGCACAGCAGTCGTCTAAGTGTTGACATATTCTGGGCACTGGGAAATTTGATTTTGTAGCTACTATGTGTACAACTACCTTCGCTAGTCTATCAAAGATTCCGGCACTGCTAACACATCCGAAGATAAGGCATAATTCTTTGAATCCATACCCTAGCCACGTAAACCACTGTAGATCTGTGTCTTTGGCACATACAGCTATATGTTTGTAGGCGTCAGCCCAGTCGATTTTGCACATTTTAGCTTTACGACCAGCTAGGTGTAAGGCTCTAAGCCACTTCGTGGTTGAAGACATTATTGTTGGAAATTCATCTTTGTCAATGCCTTCATTAACACAATTGCCCAAAGGCAAACTTAGGTTCAGGATGATTCTAACTGAGCCGTTAGGCTTCGGCTTTGTCATGATGCCATTGATTTTTGCTGTGGCTGGTATCTCATCAATAGGTACAGGACCGTGTGCAAACCCTTTGTTCAGCCAATCAGCGATAGCATCTGAAACATGTGGTGCAAACTCGTAGGCACTAGGGGCATTGGTAGAAAAGGAAGGGGTCCTAGATGAGCCTTTGCAACCAATGTCCGCGCCTCCTGTAAGGTCTATACAAATCTTATTTAGAGTAGAGCTGTCTTGGAACCCCGTTTCAAGTGCTAGCGCTTTCAATTTGATGGGATCAACTAAGGATTTGCATAAAGGCTTGTAATTAGTAGGAAAATTTTCCCAGTACGAATTGTACGGTTTTGTTTTATAGGATTGTAAGATAGGTAGGTTGTATTTTGGCTTGAATGTTTTCATAGGAGGGAGTTCAGGAATAGGTAGAGTCATCTGGTGTCTTAATATTTCAAGTAGATTTAAGTGGAAAGAAATGGTTTGTAGACTGATTTCTAAAAGTATTATTATTGCTAGCTAAAATAGAAAACCAAAAGGCATGTTACGTTCTTAACAGATAAATTATTAAGTGAATGTGTAGGTAACATGTAATAAAACTCATAAATTTTAATTAATATGTATAGCAGATTTGGTAGAAATTTTTTGCTGCATTTGCCTCGTATCTTAATATTAATATAGCTAGGTAAAACAGAAACAAAAGGCATGATACGCTATTAACAGGAAAATATTAGGTGAATAGTGTATGGTAAAGTGTAATAAAACACATAAATTATAATGAATACGTCTAACAGATTTATCACTAAAACTAACGCAGAAGGTTTGTGTGTAAATTTAGGTTTGGTAGAAATAATATGCGGCATTTTTCTTTGTATATTGTAAACACGAATACA